CGGCGCGGGCCAGGCGGGAGGCGGAGAGCGCGGAGGGGCGAGGCCCGGCTGTGGGGGCCGCTCGGCCCGGGGGAGCCTGCGCCCCGCTCAGCCTTGCAGCCCCGCGCCCTGAGCATCTCCCGGAGGAACGGAGACAAAGGAGGATTCATGTCCAAAGGTAGGGCGCCCAGCCGGAGGGAGCTGCAGTCCCCCAAGCGCGGCCGGGGGTGCCAACGGGGGGAGGGTGCCGTGCCTAGGAGCCCACGCGCGGTGACATATGCGCGGACAAGCACGCACGGTGGCATACACCTTGCCGCCGACAGTCTTAGAAGAGGGCGCAAGCAGGAACGCGGGTATCCAGATGCTCACAGCAAGCCCCGTGCTGGAGCACCCCAATACGCCCTCACACGCGGACACCGGGGCGCAGGTACCCAGGCCGCCTTCAGCGAATGAGACCCGTGTGCACGCGCGCTGGTGACACCTCAGGCCCCTTCCCCCACGCAGACAGCCACCAGCTGGTGGTCTCCAAGGGAACTCGCTGACCTCCTGAGAACTGGGATGGGGAAGGGGGTTTTGGGGGCCCTTTGCCCCTATGAAAGGGGGAAGGTGCAGACAGATAGCTGTTGTGATTCCTTTTCTGAGTTCCCAGGACTGGAGCTGGGGTGGCCTAGGATTTCTTCTCCTGGTGGGGGTGGGGTCTTGAAGGCTGATGGGAGCCCCTCAGCTTAGGTGACCCCTAGTTGGGGAGGGGAGGAAGAGGGTCCAGCACTAAGCAGGGGAGGTAAGTGCTATTCTGGCAAGGTCTCTTCCTCCAGCCACCTTCCCAACAGAGGGTGGGGTCCCTGGGTTGGACAAAGACAAAGCCCTCCATTTGCCTGTCCAAGAAAGTACCAGGTTCCTGCTTGCCCTGGGGTCGAAGGGTGCTGTTTCTCTGGGCCCAGTGCTGTGTCAGGTGGACAGTTCCTGTCCCTGAGTGCCATTGATGGGGCCAGTGACTCCTGGCAGGGAGTCTGCAGACAGATCCCCTCTTCTCCAGAGGCCCTGGGGGAGCTGAGCATAGGAGGGGCACTAAGGACCATGGAGCCTGGATGCATATTTGAGCTGCATCCTGCTGTCATCCCCACCCTGAGCTCTTCCCACCCTTGGGGCCCCCCCTCCAATATCAGTTGTAGGAGAGGAGGAGCTCTGTGTCCTTTAACTGTGGCCCACACCACAGCCATTTGCTGGTGGGGGTCAGCTGCTGTGTACAGAGCGCAGCATCTAGGGAGGAGACAGGTGACGGTTTGAGGTGACACCTGCCTTGCGTAGTAGGGCTTTGGTTCATTCATCACTCATTCATTGCTGAGTGCCTGGAGTATGCTAGGCACACGGGCCCCAGAGCTCCGTGAGCCACAGCCCCTGGCTTAAAGAAGGGTAGAAACTGGCACAGATTCAGTGTTGGTGGTTCATGCCCAGGATTATGACGGGCTTCACATCTTCTGAGGCTGCCCACCTGGGGTCTGTTCTAGGGAAAGCTTGGAGCCACAGAGTCCAACTCCAGAACAGCATTTGTTCTGTGCTCTGGAGGTCTTGGTGTAATTGTTAGGCTCCCTCACTAGCCAGTGTCCCTTGGGGGAGGGGGCAGTGACCTTGTTTGAGACACGAAAGTATCCTTGGCATTTAGTGTAGGGGTTGGCTAGAGTAGGCCTGCGCTTGACAGGGTAGGGAATTGGCCTGGGTGGGATGGACTGAATGAATGAATGAATGAATGAGTGAATGAATGATTCTAGCAGGTACCAGGGGTAAAGGCCTCACAGAAGAGGGACATCTGCACCAGACAGGAGTGCAACTAGGAGTTAGCCAGGGGCTGGTGGGGCCACGCAGGCTCTTCTAGCAGAGCTTGTGGCACGGTGGCCTGCTGCGTGCTTGCAGTAGTTCCAGTTGATCAGCGGCTGTTAGCCTGCGACTGGCATGTAATTGGCATGTGTCAGGAGGGGGCCGGCTTGCCAGCAGGTGCTCTGCATGGTGCACGCAATGGGTGCTAATATGTGTTCATTAAAAGAATAAATGAGATCTGCTCACAGCTTATCCCGCACTAGGACTACAGTAGCCCGTAGAAGCTCTTTGAGAATTGGATAGACTCCTCTCTCCACCAAGGTCTGTCTTTGGGAAGAAAGTACCTTCTCAGGATGCTGCAGGTGGCAGGCCAGAACTGAGCAGGGTATGGGGAGGACACGTGCTTTATAAGGATGCCCCCAGCCCCCAACACAAGGCTGACGTTCCAGGCCCCTGAAGTGGGGTTAAGACCACCCCCACCCCAGGTGGATGTGTTTCACAGTACGGGTTACAGAGACCAAGTGGGCCCGGCTGAGAGCGATGAAAAAGGCCTGGCTGTGTGAGCGGCTGGCCAGGAGAAATGGGGCACGGGCCCTTGGTGCGGGTGGGGCCGGGAGCCACGTGTGCGTGCAGAGGAGCTAGGCTGCTGAGAGTCAGCTGCCGCAGGGCTGAGCCAATCTTGCTGCCCTCCGGAGCTGCCTGGCTGGCACCGGCTGCCTGGGAAGCAAGAAGGAGCCCCTCCAGGCCCTGGGGGAGGTTCCGAGGCTTTATCAGATTTGGCTGCACCTGGAAGTGACAGGGGACAGAGGGTCTTGCCAGTACCAGTGGAAGGACCAGGTGGTGGCTGGGTACAAGAGCAGATTCCCAGAGAGCCTTGGGGGTTGGGAGGCAGGAGCTCCCATCCCCTCTCCCTCCTGCCCATCTGCTGCTCCATCAGGCCTAGGCCTCCCCACAAGGCTGAGGCCTGCAGGCTGGTGATCCTGAACTGTGAGGTTCTCCAAAGGCACAGCCAGAAGGCGTCCTCCAGGGGGCCCGGAGGCAATAGCAGTGAAGTTAGCCTCTGAGGTGTTGCCACTTCGCCTCCTCCCCTCCAAATAAGCCTGGGAACTTGGAAGAGCCAGAGACAGGGTCTGGGCTACACTTCTAGGCATCCTATCCCAGGTATTGCTTGCTGGCAGCCTTAATCAGAATCTGACCATTCCACAGAGGAAGCAGGCTCCTGGGGCGCAGGGGGGCGGGGAGCTGCCCCAGTCCACCCACTCGCCTCTTTTATGGGCAGTGAGATGGAGTCGCTTCAGTGTAGAACCTATGCTGGTGGGCAGTGGCTTGTTGAGGGCCCCACAGACTGGGCTGGTGTGTAAAAGTGCCCAGGAGCTTCCAGAGCTGGCGAGACTTCAGCCTTCCCTTGCTAGGTCGTTCCCTCCTCTTTTCTCAACCCTCTTTTTCCCACTGCCCAGCCTTAGCGGGGCTCTCTGTGTCATCTTAGGCAGGTGGCTGCCCCCACTGGGGTCTCATCCCCTCCCTGCTCATCCCACAGACTCAGAACTGTGGCCAGCGAGGTGCTCAGGACACGTCTAGGTGTAGACACCCCTCCTCTGCCACTCAGGGAATGGAGGGGACACTGAGGTGTGAGGAGGGAGCAGTGCTCTCTGCGGAGAAGGGAGCCCCATTTGCTTCTAAGAGACGCAGCAGTGGAAGCTGGTGACAGCCCGTAGGTTACACCCAAGATCCTAAAGTGTCCTTTCCCTGGCAAGGCTGGGCTTGGGGCTGAATGACCCCTGACGTCTCTTAGGCCAGTGGTTCTCCGCGGTGGGTGATGCTGCCCCTGGAAACATCTGGTACTGTCTAGAGATATTTTTAATTGTCACAGCTGGAGGGCCACTGGCATCTGGTGGAGACAGTGGTGGCCACTAACTGTCCCACAAGGCATAAGTCTGCCCTCTATAAGAATCATCCAGATGCACCAGTACCACGGTGGGGAAGCCCTGATGTTGACACAGACATGGTGCTTTGGAGCGCAGGGTCAGCAGTGGGAGAGCCTGGCCTGCTCTGTGTTCTTGAGCAAGCCTTTTCCTCTCAGGGCTGTCTCCATCTAGGGAGCAAGGGACCAGACTGGGTCACATTAAAATCCCTTCTAGTTCCAACTCCTTAGAGTATTCCATATTGGGAGAAAAGTGCTGTGGCTTCCATGTGACCTCTGTCCTCCCATCTGCCCCCCACCCCTCCCATCCTGGCCCTGCAGGGCTCCCCGAGACCAGGACGGACGCAGCCATGTCAGAGCTGGTGCCCGAGCCCAGGCCTAAGCCGGCAGTGCCCATGAAACCCGTCAGCATCAACTCCAACTTGCTGGGCTACATCGGCATCGACACCATCATTGAGCAGATGCGCAAGAAGACCATGAAGACTGGTTTTGATTTCAACATCATGGTTGTGGGTATGGAGGGCCATGGAGTCACTGGTGTGCCTGGGGGAGGGCGGTGCCGAGGATCCCATTTCTTTCCCTAGAGTGGCCTCAGGGTTTGCCATGCTGATCACAAAAGCCTGACCCTGTTCTGTCCTCAAAGATAGATGATCCAGGGAGTGGAGGCTTTGGATGGGTGGCCAGTCTGGCTCCAGCTCCAGCTGGGTATAGCCTGGTGGCCTCTGATCTTGAGTTCAGGTTTGTGGCATGGGTGAATCAGTAGTGTCCTTCTAAAAGCAAGGGGAGGATTGGATGAAATGTGGCCTTATTTCTGATATTTGTGATATTTTAAAATTCTGATGCCAGGTACAGTGGGACATGCCTGTAATCCCAGCATGGTGGGAGGCTGAGGCAGGAGGATTGCAAGCTTCAGCTCAGCCTGAGCAATTTAGCAACTTAATGAGACCCTGTCTTGAAATAAAAAAATAAAAAAGGACTGGGGATGTAGGTTAGTGCAAAGGCCCTGGGCTCAACCTCTGGTACTAGGGGGAGAAAAGGGAAACTTCAAGATAATTGTCAGGGATTTGGTCACTGAGAGCCAGCTCTGGGTCACAGAATGTAACAGGGCCCTTTGATAGATCTTGTCAAGATCTGAGTTCACTCAGAGTGACAAGGAGCTGGGCACCCTCTCGCTGTCCTCTGCTTTCAACTGAATCAGTCATCAAGTCTGTCCCTTTCCCTTCTAAATGCCTTGGAATCTGCTCACTTCTCTTCTTACCTGCTGCCACCAGCCTAGGTGGCCCAGCCACCTGCCTCAGTGATGCTGAGAATCCCAACCTGCAGCAAGATGAGAAGCTTGAGTCAGAGTGTGACTCATCTAGCTTTGAGAAAAGTCAGCCTGGCTAAGAAGGGTGCTCTGTGATGCACAGGGTTTATTTACCTCCTGGTCCAAAACTCTTACCGTAGCTGGGCGTGGTGGTGCGTATCTGTAATCCCAGCACTGGGTGGCTGAGGCAGGAGGATCACTGGGAGTTCAAGGCCAACCTCAGTTGCATAGTAGTAAGTTCAGGGCCAGCCTGAACTGTGTAGTGAGACCCTGTCTCAAAAACAAAACAAAAAAGCAACAAAAACTCTTCCCATGAGAGCCGGTAGCAAATGCTTCATGGACTGGCGGTTAGGCCATGAGGAGCACCTGGAGTGGCTCTGGCCCTCCTGACTCGGTCTCCTGTCCATTCTGATCCATTATCCACCGAGTACCTGTGTAATCTTCCCACGCTGCAGAGCCCATCAAGTCGTTTAAAACCTTTTGGTAACTCTCCTTTCACCTCAGGTGAGTTCAGGCTCCGGCTGGGTGCCACTCCTCACTCCTCTCCCTCCCCCGCGTGTCCAGTGCTCTCCTCCCCCTCCACACAGACCCTTCTCCACTCCCCACATTCTCCTTGCTGAGTCCATGCACAGCTGTTCCTTCTGTTTAGAACTTCCTTCCTACGTCTTGTGGCTCCCTTTTCAGGCTTCAGCGTAGTTGTTACTACTTCCTAGAAGTCTTCCTTGATCTCGGAGAAAAGCACCCCACGAAGCATCCTACGTTTAGCTTTCCCAGGTGCCTGTTACCACATATTGTGACTGTTTGCTTATGTGTTTGGTCTCTCTTGCACTAAACAGCCCCTTGAGGGTGCGGATGGATCTTAGCCCAGACCCATATGGAACATCAGCACCACCTGCCCTCCCCCAGTGGGCCTCCCCCCAGGACAGCGCTTGGCCATCCAGAATAGAGTGAACAAATGCCCTTAGAAAGCACACAGGACAACAGTGGCAAGTGCAGGTTGAGTTTCCATGGTGTAAGATGCTTGCATCCACAAATGTTCTGATTCTGGATTGAGTCATTTAAACTATTTCCATAGGGGCTGGTGAGATGGCTCAGTGGTCTAAAGCACCTACTTAGAACAAGCTAAGCTAAGCAAAACACAGGGACCTCGGTTCAATCCCCCAGCACCACATGCCAGCCAGCCCCGCCCCCTGGTGGGCTGAGCTGGCCACACACACACACACACACACACACACACAAATACACAATAAATAAATATATAAATACATATTAAAAAAAATAAATAAATAAACTATTTCCATAGATTTGGCAGGTTGAAAAATCCCTAATCGGGCAATGTGAAATGCCCCCAAATTATTATTATTTATTTTATTGGCGGGGGGAACCGGGGCTTGAACATAGGCCTATGCGCTTGCCAGGGAAGCGCTTATTCTACTGAGCTATCTCCCCAGCCCCAATGCCCCCAAATTAAAAACATTTTTGAGCATCATGACAGCACTTCAAAAGTTTCAAATGTTGCAGCATGTGGGACTTCTAATTTCCAGGTTAGAGGTGCTCAGCCTGTGCAGCACACGCGGCCCCCCCCCCCGAGGAGCCTGTGGCAGACACACCCGTTGCTCGCGGCGCAAGTGTGACACTGAGCCCCGAGACAGGCCTTTTAGGAGAATGCCTTCTGCAGCTGGTGAGCTAGCCTGGGCAGTGCGCCTTGTTCTCCATCCTGGTCTCCCCCAGTTCCCTCCCCCTTGCCTTCTGTCATAAAGAGACTGAGGCCTTGCGGGGCTCATGGGACAGTCCAAAGGCACTCTGGGCAAGCACCAGAGTTGGGTCTAACACCCTGGACTCTTGCTGCCCAGCCCGGCCTTCTTTCTCCTCCCAGGCAGCACCACGTGGGCCTCCCTGTCCCTGGGATTCCTCTGGAAGCCCGGGCAGACGGCAGTGCCATGTCATGGGTCTGGCGTGGACCACTTCCTGCACACATCCCGGCAGCTACAAGGCTTTCCTTGTGATTCTTGTGCGTGCTAGACCTCACAAAGCACAGCTGGGACACAGGGACCCCGAGAGCCCAAGCGGACGTGGAGTGGACGCTGTGGCTCTGCCTGCCCAGCTTACTTTTCTGCCGACAGCACCCTGGCTGGTGTGCACTGAACAGAACACCAGGGCTTCTGGGGGCACAATTATTAAAGCACTGTGCAAGAATAAAGAGCAGATAGGAGGTTCAAATCCCTGGCCTTGCATTCACCTGGTAAGTTGCCTTGCACACATTTTACGTTACAAGAGGATCAAACTCTCTGGGGCCCTCTCAACTGGGGCTAAAGATAGCTCCGCTGTGGGTCTCACGGGGCTGATAGAAAGATGGATGCTGTGGACAGACAGGAAAGTGCTTAGGCACCAGGAGGCAGTGTCAGGGCGCAGTGATTTTCTTCTTTTCGTATTATTAAAGATGACAACTTAAGGAAAAGGCTTTTAAACCAAAATAAAGATCCCACCTTAGAGAAGTCAGAGGTGGTTCCCTCTCGCATGGTCCTGGGGCTCCAGGGAATGCAGAGTAGAGTCTGACTGCAGTTTCCCTTCCCAGTGACCAGGAAGCCACTCCTGCTGCCTACTCTGCTCAGCTCTGGAATTCTGTAGGTTCACGTGAGAACCTCGAGGTGCAGGAGGTGGGCACGGGGTCTCCTACCTTATCTTTTTTCCTCTTCTTGCTGCAGGCCAGAGTGGATTGGGCAAATCAACGTTGGTCAACACACTCTTCAAATCCCAAGTGAGCCGAAAGGCTGCGAGCTGGAACCGGGAGGAGAAGATCCCCAAGACAGTGGAGATCAAAGCTATCGGGCATGGTTAGGATCATCCAGGGGCCACCGTGGGCTTTGTGCAGGGGGGCCTGGGCAGAAAGGGGGGGAAGAAACAGTTTTTTGGGGGAATGAGACACATGGAGGGCCATCTTGAGACTGTGGAATTCAGCATTAAATTCCACCAGCAAACTCCTTAGACTGTTGGTCTCAGAGGGAGTGGGTAGGATGGCGAACAGTGGTGGGTGAGCTGGGTGAAGCGGCAGGGGTAGGGTTTAGACAGAAGCAGAAGCAGAAGAAGAAGGGGAGAGTATTCCAGGAGCTGGGGGCAGCACAAGCAAAGGTGTCAAGGTGGAGAAGACCCCGAACTCCCCCTTCCCAATCACCAGTCCCCGAGAAGAGGCTGGGTGTCCCTGGCTAGTGGGCTGTAGTGCACCTGAAGCCCCCTGGAGGGCTGACTTCTTGAATGCCTTTTCTGTGTCTCCCCCAGTGATTGAGGAAGGTGGCGTCAAAATGAAGCTGACTGTCATTGACACCCCAGGCTTTGGAGACCAGATCAACAATGAAAACTGGTATATGTCTGCCCCTGAGATTTTCACCCTAAACACTCTGCCAGGAGGTGAACAGATTCATTCACGCTGAGAAAGCTCTGCGTCCCCTTGCTCTGCCGGTCTGTAGAACCCAGGCAGAGGCTGGGGCCCCAGGAAGCTCTACCTTTGCTAACCACCCTGGGAAGTCATTCCTAGGGAGGCGGGGGCGGGTGTCCTAGACCCACCCTGTGAGGTGGGATGCGGGACAGCACGAGGGGATGCGACCTGATTGAGCTTAAGATGCGCCTCTGCATCTTGTCCACACCCCAGCTGGGAGCCCATCGAGAAGTACATTAATGAGCAGTACGAGAAGTTCTTGAAGGAGGAGGTGAACATCGCCAGGAAGAAGCGCATCCCTGACACGCGTGTCCACTGCTGCCTCTACTTCATCTCCCCCACTGGACACTCGTATGTACCTACCACTCTGGGAGGTAGGAGGGATGCAAGTTCCATGGCCCTGTCACCTGTTCTGGGTTGGGTAACCAGTACTTGTTCTCAGCTGGATGTGGCTGGGTGGACTGGAAGATAGTCCTGGCCCCATGGCCTTGGGAGGCCCTAGACTTCCCACAAGGCAGCTTTTTTTTTTTTTTTCCATCAGGGAAAGCTGGCCACTGTCGGCCCCCATACTGCCCACTGGGGTCCCAGCCCCCCACTGGAGACCAGCAGCAAGGACTGGGTATATGGGAACAGAGGGCACCTCATTTGTCTTATGCTTTTGAACAAGGCTAGCAGTTTGGGGAGAAGCAAGAAGAGTAAAACAGGGAGAAACGAGGCTGTAGGGAGAGTCATGAGGGCCAGGGGTGTAGAGAGGAGGGCCGACCACAGGAGCAGGTGCCAGGGGCTCAGGTGGTAGAAATGTGGGCACAGGCAGAGGCTGGGGGTCCCTTGGCATCTCAAGCGACCTTCCTGCAGTGGGCTGTGTGTCTTTTAGTTTGTTACTAAGGCCGGGTAGGTGCTGGGCTTTGGCAGCGGCAAATTCTCAGCAGGTTCGCGGTAATGGGTGAGGGAAGGTTGAAATGAAGATGCTGGGCCGGGCTCGGGAGCTGGCCTGGTTGTCTTCAGTCCTTTCTTGTCTTCAGTCATGGTCTGAAGACAGGAGTATCGCTAGAAGTCTGATCTACATAATGAGACCCTGTACACCCTTGTAGACCCTGTCCTAAATTCATAAAAACAACAACAACAACAACAACAACAACAACAACAAAACAAGATTAGGGATTTAGCTCAACATTCTCTATGTTTAATCCCCAGTGCTGTGGTGGTGGTGGGGAACCAAAACAGTTCGACAGCCAGGATATGACACACATAAGTAGCCATAACATAAGAACAAGTGGGCAGGGACACCAGAAATGGTCCCAGACAAAGAACTCCTAGGTGAGAAAAGGTGATGTGAAGGGTTAAGGCCCAAGGGGCTTAGCAAGAATCCAGGGACAGGGAAGGAGGAGGGGCTAAGGGCTGTGTGGGTAGAAGACTTGGGGACATCTGTGGACAGTGAGGTGGGGATGAGTCAGCAGAGGGGCATCCAGGTCCCAGCCCAGTCCTCTCCAAAGGGCACCTGGGGAGGTTGGCAGAGGCTGAGGGGCACACACGTGGCTCTGACAGCCCCGCTTTCTCTGGGCCCCAGCTTGCGACCCCTGGACCTCGAGTTCATGAAACACCTCAGCAAGGTGGTGAACATCATCCCTGTCATTGCCAAGGCTGATACCATGACCCTGGAGGAGAAGTCCGAATTCAAGCAGAGGGTGAGGAGCCCCTTTCCTCTCCCTGTCCCCATGTGTCCTTCCCCTCCTAGGTCTGGGTTGTCTTTTCACTCTCATCCTTGCCTTCCCTTCCCTGCTGCCCAACCTTCCTGATCCTCTTAGTCCCTGGGGCAGCTGGGCTGGTGGCTCTGGTACCCGGAGACCAAAGGGAAGAGGCCAGTGCAGCAGGAGGATGCCCTGTTCCTGCTCTTCACACCTGCCCGCTATCGTCACTGGATACATTGGTCCCCATGAACATGAGGTGACTCAGACTTGAGGTTACTTGAAGGACTGGGTTTACTCCTCAGTTAACCGCCTGCCCATCCCCATCGGCTGTCATATCTATAAGATCAGCCCAGTGGTGGATGTCTGTTGAGCATGGAGGAAGGATGGGAGAGAAAAGCAAAGACAGTTGCTGCCTTTGAGAAACACAATTGTGGTCACTCCTGTAATCCCAGCAATCTGGGCGGTAGGAGGGATGCAAGTTCAAGCCCAGCCTAGACAACTTAGTGCCTTAGTGACACCCTATCTCAAAATTTAAAAAGGAGGTGGGCTGGGGATATAGCTCAGTGCAAAGGCTCTGTGTTCAATTCCTAGTACAAAACAGAAGACAAATAAAAACTTCAAACACCACTGAAGAGGCCTGGGTGGCACCCTGGGGGAGGTAAGGCTTCAGCCATCCTTGAAAGAAGGCTGCAGGCAGTCTTGGGCTGGAGCCTCACCTCTTTTCCTTACACTGAACATAGCACCCAGGCCACCAGCATTGCCCAGTGGCATCTGGGTTCAGCTCTCCAAATCCTACACCTTGGCACGGGCAGGGTCAGGGCTGCAGGGGTCCCTTCTCTCAGGCTGGGTGTGTAGTTGTGAACAGAAAGATCTTCCTGCTGTCCCAGACCCCAGAGTGGAGATGACTGTGGATTATCAAAGGCCAGGCTCGCCTCTCTGACGTCAGCTCCCCTACACATGCACACACAGTCACACACACACACACACAGTCACACATGCAGTCACACACACACGCAGTCACACACACACGCAGTCACACACACACCTCTGTCTTCTGTGGTGATGCCTGACTACTTTGCTTCCCTTTCCTGCCTCTAGGTCCGCAAGGAGCTTGAAGTGAACGGCATTGAATTCTACCCCCAAAAGGAATTTGATGAGGACCTGGAGGACAAGACAGAGAATGACAAAATCAGGGTGAGTTCCCAGGGCTCTGTGCCCCACACAAATGTCTCTTTGGTCCCTGTGGTGCCTTGGGACATGTCCTGTGTGCCTCTCCTGTCTTTTTGCTGCTTGTCCCTCTCTGTATCCCTGTGCCACCTTACCTGATGCCAGTGGCCCTGGCCAGGGCTACAACCCCCATAGCAGGGCTCCCTGCACCCAGAAAGCCTGCATTCCTTCCATCCCCAGACCCTATGAGAGCACCCTCCTCCCCCATGGGGCCTGAAAGAACCCACATATTGGGGGAGATAGGGCACCAGGCAGGAAAAGTATCCACTTGATGCCTAGGGGAATTTGTGCTCTAGTCAGACCCTGCCTCAGTTTCCCCTCCTACAAAATGGAGTTAGATCATATGATTGGCTTGCAGGCTATTTTCCTCCCAGAACAGTGATGGCAAGCCGTTTAGAGCTTTCAGTGATAACAAAGAGCCAGCTGCGGCCCGCGTGCCCTAGGTTTGTCCCTACTGCCCTAGAAGAACACTTCTAAGAAAAGGAAACTGCGATGACAGGTGCTGCACAACGGCAAGTGCATGCAGTCCCAGCTTCCTGGGAGGCTGAGCGGGAGGACCCCTTGAGCCCAGGAGTTTGAGGCCAGTCTGGTCAGTTTAGTGCAGATGTCTAACAAAACAAAACAAACCCCCAAACTAAAACACAAACAATAAACAAACCTCAGAGAGCCAACACGGTACACGGAAGCAGAGTTGCTTTGGCTGCGTGACATGCCTCAGAGCCCTGCCTACCCTGTCTGCCTGTTACAAATAGGAAGGCTCCCGGGAACCTGGTTTAAGAGCAGCTTGAGATCTCTGGTCCCTTTCAATTCTGAACTTGTCCAGTTTCTGTAATTGTACATCAGAAGCCTGGAACCTCGTTGGGGCTCTTGGGCTAACCCACCGTCACCTTACTGCTTTGTCTTGAGTTCCCCCTTCCATCAAGTGTGGATAGTCCAGAAGGGTCTCCTAGCACCAGGGACTGAGAATGATGGTGATGGTGGAGGGTGGTTGGGGACCACTTAAGGGAGTATGCAGCCCTCATTCCTCACATGCACAGGTCCTGATAGGATCGTTTTTCCTATGGGGACGGAAGCCTCACTGATTGCAGAAGAGGCGGGGCTCGGGCGGTGATCCCGACTGGCAGTGGCTGTACTCACAGGTGGTGCTTTGCTTGCTGCCTCCCACCACCTGCTGTGTGGCTCACTTCCTAACAGCTTCCCCTCCGACTAGTACTGGGTGGGGAAGACCTGTCTTATCTGATATAGTTAGGATAAGGTCTCGGTTATTTTTCTGTCATTGCTGGGACAAATACCTGACAGCCGGAATTAAGGAAGGAAAGGTTTATTTAGTTAGTGGAGCTTTCAGTCCACACTCCACTGGCTCCAAGGCAGACTGGCATGTGGCAGAGGGCAGCAGTTCATTGAGGCAGCGAAACAGCAAGAGCAAAAAGGCAGGAGCAGCGGCAGCAGCAGCTACAGAGAGCAGGCCTGTCTCTCTCCCTTATGTTGCATTCCGGCCCAGGCTGGCTAACACTCACCCCATAACCCCAGTGGATCATGAATTAGTCACAAACTCTAGAAAGTCCGCCCCATGACTTACATGAGGCTTTGGGGGACAACTAGACACAAACCGTAACAGAGAGGGAGTTAGTTTCAGTTAATTAAGAAAGTCCGCTGACTTTGAGGGAATCATTCTTTTAAAGTCATGCGTGCAAATCTTGAATGTTTAAAAGTAAGCATTTTATGATGTTAAAATAAAACGTATACATCATGTTCATCCATCATATAGAGCCAAGGTCTCTGAGGATAAATCCACTCTTCTTTATTTATATATTTTATTTATTTGTGGTCCTGGGAATTGAACTCAGGGTCTTGTGCATGCTAGGCAAATACTCTCCTGCTGAGCTACATCACCAGCCCTATTTTAATCTTCTTGCACACTGGGGATGGAGCCCGGGTCTGCCAGTATTCAGCAAGCATTCTGCTGAGCTGCCTCCCAGACCAAAGCATACTCCCTTCCCCCACCCGTCCCCCCCAGTACTGGGGATTGAACCCAGTGCCTTCGTGCTGAGCTGTAGCCTCAGGTTTTTTTCATTTTAAATTTTGAGTCAGAGTCTTGCTGAGTTGCCCAGGCTGGCTTGAGCCTGTGATGCTTTTGTTTTGCATTTTGTCCCATGATGCTTTTGTTTCAAGCTGTCAGAGTGCTGAGACCACAGGTGTGCGCCTAAGTGCCAGAGCCCACCCTTATGAAACGTTTGACTTTTCATTTTCAGAGAAACAAGCTCTACGTATATATGTTCCCAGCTTATGACAGTTACTAGCTGCCTAATGATGTCCCCATTGTTAAAGGACTGCATAAGACAGTGGTTTTATACAATTGTATCACCTGGTGATGTAACCGTTTTAATTTGTGTAAGTACTGTCCATGCTATCATGTTGGCACGACAGTTGCCCAGTGACACACTTCTCAGAACTTATCTGTGGCATTCAGCAACACAGGATTAGTGCCTTTATCCAGTGACAATCACAAGCACACATCAGGCGGATACATATGGGAACAAGCAGCCGGCACTTGGCTGACTCAGGATCCATCTGGTGGAGCAGGAGGCCTCTAGTGTGCACAGTTCAGCCGCTGCAGGCTTCTGCCAGTAGCTTTGACAGGAGACAGGGTCACATATCTGTGAGTCTGGCTGTTGCTTGGCTGGGCATTGTCACAGAGGTTCTGTCTGCTGGCTGTTTAATACAGTTGTTCCAAATGTTTTTTTTTTTTAGAAAATGAATGTACAAAGTGCTCTCCCGGTGAAGAAAAGCTGACAAGCAAGGTCACCCAGCTGGGGGGGGGGGTGCATTCAGGGTTGAAGCTAGGACCCCTGATTCCCAGTGCAGTGTTCTTTCCAAAGGGCTGTCTTGCTCCTGCCATCAATAGGATCCCTCAGGGAACACCAGAAATGTACGGCACAGGGCTGGACCTCCAGGACCATCTGCTGTCCTGCCCTTGGATGTCAGATCACAGGGAGCTGACGGTGCCTGTGTGTCTGGTTTGTGTCTCTGCCCCATCTAGCAGGAGAGCATGCCTTTTGCTGTGGTGGGAAGTGACAAGGAGTACCAAGTGAATGGCAAGAGGGTCCTCGGCAGAAAAACCCCCTGGGGGATCATCGAAGGTAATTCAGTGCCTCTTCTGGGAGAACCGGCTGCTGATCAATTATCCAGCAGGCGTTTGTTACGCCTCTACAGACCAAGCCACCATTCTAGGACATGTGATATACGATGAATGTCAGCCAGGTTCTGCCCGTAAGGAGCTTGCAGTGTAATTGAGAAGATCACACGCGCAGGCAGAAAGCAATAAGAGACCCATTTGCCTGTGGCCAGGTGGTCCTGAATTGTGTCAGAGGAGTTCAGAGCCTGGAGAGATTATCCGAGGATTGCAAAGACAGAGAAAGGATTTCACCTTAAGGGAGATGTGATTGGAAAAAGTGCCAGAGAGTGGTTTGCCTGTTGCCATTTCTATTTAATTATGAATGGCTGTGACCTTGGACGGGTCATGACGATTCTGAACATTTTCAAAGAACTACTTCAGTAATCTCATTCAATATGATCGTCCTGAAAGGCAGCCGGGCAGGCACTCTTCTCCTCAGAATATGAGCTGCTGAGACCTCTAGTCGTAGAGAGGTTAGGTGCTTTGCCAGTGTGTGACTTGCCACATCTGTGTGTGTGTGTGTGTGTGTGTGTGTGTGTGTGTGTGTGTGTGTGTGTGGTGCCGGGGCCCAAACCCAACATTTTGCATGTGCTCTCACATAACTTGTAAACGATGAGCCCTGAATTGCAGACTTGGATATTTTCATTCCCAAACCAAAACTCATTGTCTTGAATTATCTCTGGTTTTCCTGTGACTCACTGTAGGATTTCTTTCTTTTTTTTGGCTCAGCTTCCCACCCATTGTTGGGACTTAAAAATAGCATGTTCTTGTCACTTACCTTGATTTGGGGTTATTTGTGAGACTGCTGTACAGACATTGTGAGTTCAGAGAGCCATGGCTAAATTTTCCTCCGGCTCCAATCTTTGACAAGTGGCTTGGAAATGGTGGGTGCTCCATTGAGGGTTCTGATTTTGATACTGAGGATCCAACCCAGTCCCTCCTGTGCTGCCTGGCAAGTGCTCGACCACTGGGCTCCTTCCACAGCCTTCTGCATCTGTGTTGAATTGAATTTATCATGTGGGGTATGATGTTTTAGAGGTAGTGCAACTGTTATCTTCTCTGTGTATCAGATTACAAATTCCTTACAGATAGGACCTGTATTTTAGGTTTTGGCAAGTTTCTTAGACTATGTGTTAGTTTTCTATAAAATGGGAATAATAACAATTCTTGTTAGCTACTATTCCTATTGTTTAGGCAAGTATTATGCCCGTGGTAGCTGTTTAAATTTGTTGAGTTAATAAGATCCACTGAAGTAAGCCAGGCTCTGGAAGGGTTGCAAAACAGCCTGTCTCGTGCTTTCTTTAAGTGCCTCTGTGAGCTAAACGGAAGTTTACTTCTTAGGTACTGCGCCAGTGAAATGACCACCTGTTTTCTTTTGTTCATAGTGGAAAATCTCAACCACTGTGAGTTTGCTCTACTTCGAGACTTTGTTATCAGGTGAGATGTCCCTGTTCCCCTTTGCCCACATGGCAGGTTTTAATTCCAGGGCCATCTGTGCAGACTCCTGAATCTCGGTCTCTGATGGAACTTTCTTCTCAGTTCCTGTCTAAAGCAAAAGGGCCTGTAGCATTCAGTGGGTCCCGTCCACGGACGCGATGTTAGCCTCTGAGGTTGGTTATGTCTTCCTCCTTCTGCTCCTAATTCCATCCTTCTCTCTTCTCATCCTGCATCCTTCAGGACCCACCTCCAGGACCTCAAGGAAGTGACCCACAACATCCACTATGAGACTTACAGGGCCAAGCGGCTCAATGACAATGGAGGCCTCCCTCCGGTGAGCGTGGACACAGAGGAAAGACACGACAGTAACCCATGATGCCCCTTCATCACACATACCTCCTCTCCACACACACGCATCCCAAATGCCACCTCCAGCCACCTTCGCCCCTTCAGCTCTGTCCCATGGGCCTGTCTGGTATTGTGGAGCATCTTGTCTACCTTGTGTGCATGTGTGTGTGCATATAGGGTGTGTGTGAGTGTGCATGTGTGTGTCTGAGAGAGAGGGTGTGTGCCTGTGTGTGAATGCACAGGGGTGAGGTATTTTCATTACTCTCCCTGTAAAGCCTCTTGTAAGTCTGGTCCCTCCATGACTGTCCACTATCTGTCTCTTCTCCTTGTGTCCCAGAACAAAGCCGAGCATTTCACTCTCAAAGTCTGGGGGAGGTTTTATTTGAAAATGCTGGGATCAGGTGAGCTGCAGGTGCAGGGGGTTCTTTCTCTCTCATCTCACCCACAAACTGGGGCTGCCGAGATTCTCTGAGGACAGGTGGCTGAGCTAGACTGGGGTGGGGGTAGCTCAGAACACCTCCCTGTAAGGCGGGGCTGGGGCAAAGGCTAGGACTTCCTTGGAGAAGGAAGGTACCAGAGGAGCAGAGATATGCATCTCCACTGGGTTCCTGCAGGAGGAATCCATGCCTAAAAGTGGGGCTCCAACCTTTGGTCTTTGTCAAGGTCCCTGTCCAAAAGCTACCACCTGGTACTGTTCAGATTGCAGCTTTCCTTGCTTGCTCACGCTGCCTCTGCTTCCTGCTTTTAGTCCTTTCCCTCCCCTCCCTTCCTCCCCTCTCTCCCTCCCTCCCTCCCTCCCTCCCTCATGTGTCTCTTTTTCCCTCCCTCTTGCCTATCTCTGATATCTTTCACACCCTTTTAGATGAAAACTTTGAGCTTGATTTATACAGTCAGAATTGATGTCCAGTTTACTTCCAAAAAATGACTTTTTTTTTTTTTTTTTCCCCCGGAACCAGGGATTGAACTCAGGCCTTGCGCTTGCCAGGGAAGCGCTTATTCCACTGAGCCATCTCCCTGCCCCCCCCCAATGACTTTACACTACCCTAAATTAAAATAATGAAAAGCCCAGGACAGTGCAAACTGAGATTACAAGAGAAATCCATGCCATTGAGAATAGGAAAGACAGTTTTGATAGCCGAGGGCTGAAATCATCCCCGAACCGGTGGTTGGCCAAGGTGAAGATGCCAGGGCGAGTTGTGCAGTTCCAGGGCCACATTAACGGAAGCACAGGTGCCAGCCAAGCCTTCTGAGTAGGGGGCGCATTAAATTCTAGAAGGATGGATTTTGAAGAAATACCAGAAACTATATGCAGTATTTCTTTGTCAGAGGGTTGACTTCAGAGACAAATCTTAGGTCACATCTCCCTCTTCTCAAGAGGCTCTCCTGGTCTTATCCATACTTAACTCCTTCTTTTCTTGCTCACTTTGCTGCTGAAGTGAATTCTATTTGTCTGTCTGTCTGCCTGCCTGCCTGCCTGTCTCTGCTATCCCTCAGTTCTCCTCCTGACTCCTATAGACATTCCCAGTGATATCCACAATCATACATTTAGCCTTTTCATGCCTGTCCTGTAAGCATCTTATTTATTAATGCATATACTTCCCTTGTTTATCGTACCAATGTTACTCTTTCTCCTTTAACCTGTGGTAGGATTGCTGAAATTCGGGCCTGGGAAAACAGTTTAGCCTTAGGAAAGAGAAGACACCAAGTGATACTGTTTACAACAACCTCCTATCCCTCCAGCCTCCTATCCCAACTCCTGGTCCAGCATAGGTGTTTAACTGGTCCTCTCTGAATGCCAGCATTTACAATCCCAGTCCTTTATCACTCAGGTGCTAGGAAGAAAAGATTTAAAATCCAAGACTGAGTGGGCCAGGAGAAAGAGGCGGGGTGATCAGATCACCAGTGTCCCCACTCCTGCAGTCTCAGGCTCTCCTGAAGGCTGGTTTACCAGTCCGACCCTCTTCCTGCCTGCCCACAAAGTTACTCCCGGGTGGGCACCTGCTGGGCCAGAACAGCAGCAGTGCTAGGAACAGAGCTCAGTGCAGTTGAGCCGGAGGCCCCCCCCCTCCCGGCTCCCACAGCCGGGGGTCCTGTATGGAGACGGGACTGGGCCCTCAGGACCAGCAAGGAGAGACCCAGGGGTGAGGGTGGGAGGTGTTGGCGAGGCTGAGAGGGAAAGGATGCTCTGCGCCTCTAAACCATGGTCTCAGCCTCCTGGAGAAGCTGTTTTGATGTGACTGCTGCCTGCTCCTGGTCTGCGTACCCTCACCCGTTCTCAACCCCCTGCAGGGAGAAGGCCTCCTGGGCACTGTCCTTCCACCTGTGCCAGCCACCCCCTGCCCCTCTGCTGAATGAAGGCCATTTCAAGCTGCTTCTCCCTCCATGCCTCTCAGCCGACCTTGCTGCAGGGCCACGCCCCTCTTAGTGTTGTGCTCGCCCCGCCCGCCCGCGCACCGCAGGTGGGAGGGGCCGGCCGCCTCCTTAGGACAGTGGTTTCCTCCATTTAGCCAAACCTCTCCTCCCCTCCCGGAGGCAGAGTTCTTGCCCGCACTGTCCCTGCTCCACCGGCTGTGTCAGCCAGCCCCAGCCCACCTATAGGGAGAAAGAACTCACCAAGAGCAGCTTCTCCCCTCGCCACTCCATCGCAGCTACGTGACTGTCTCCAAGGGAGATGACGTTGCTCCCTACCCATTCATCCCCATGAGCTGCTCTTGGCTTCCTTCAAGGGTCGAAAAGACAACTTTTCTGCTTGTCATAGTCACTGAGATCAGCCATGTAAGCCCCAGTGTGGGATAAGGGTGGCTCTTTAGTTACCCAAAGGTATATTTAAAAGGGTGGGTCATTGCACATGAGGGGGAGCTGGGTTAGGATCACTTTTTAAAGAATCACCACGGTGGCTGGCACCTGCCCACCCTCCCCGTAATGCAGCCACTTAGCTAGAGTGGTTTTCCCAAAGCAGAGAGTACTATAGTTGACTTCCTCCTTATCCTCCAAACAAGGAAAATGAACTAAATACACGTCCAAAAGCCCAGAAACTTACAAGCTATACACTGTAGGATGAAAAATGGCACCCTCCTGTTCACTTAGCAATAAGAGGGGCCTTTCCCATCTGCTCCTCCTACTCCAGTCTCCTGTCCCTTACCCTGTTAATGTGAGTAATGAATTGGCCTGGCCATAGATGGTCACTGTAGTCTAATGGAAAATACCCAACAGAGGGCAAAGTCCCCATCTGATGCATGAATGTTTGCGAATGTTGGCTTCCACTGCCCCACACACTGTGTCTTTATAGAACCCTCCTTTGCCTACCCTACCCCATCTCCACCTGGACACAACTTGCTCAAAGGCTGGTGACTTGTGGGCCATTCATCTATAACTAAGACCTGATGGAACAAGAGGCCCAAGCCCAAGGGATGCAAGAACGACCCATTTCTTAAATGTCACAGTCCCAGCCAACCTTTTGGTGACACTCTGGTTCAATTTCCTAATTGAAAACAAGCCAACAGACACTCAAACTGGTTGTGTAAATGTTGCTAGACTTTCTGTGTTGTACAACTAAACATTGCTATTTGAACAATAACTGTCTGGCCTGTGTCGTCTTTGTGCCCCTTCCTGTCTGGCCAAATCAGCCATGATGTCATCTCACCTGTGTGGAGGGTGAGCTAGGGACCATCTTGGTAAGACTGTGAGGTCAGACCCAGGCATTATTTCCTGGATCTGCATTCCCCAGATGAGGGCAAACCATCACATCTGACCTTAGGGATGCTGTAGTGAAAATAATGTGTATTTTCATTAACTTCCTAGCTTTTCCCCTACGGAAAGTGGAAGAACCAAGTCTAAGAAAGGAGTGGGCCCTTCTTACTTAGAAAACTATTTTACAGAGAGTACTTTAAGAATTTATTTATTTATTTTTTCGGAACCAGCGATTGAACTCAGACCCTTGCGCTTGCCAGGGAAGTGCTTATTCTACTAGCCATCTCTCCGGCCCCACTTTAAGAATTTAAACATTAACTTGAACATAAACATTTTGAGATGTCCACTCCTTTTTGTAGCCAGCAAAAAACCCAACTGTTACCCACGTATTAGTTTTTCGAACTTGGATGTGACACATGCGTGCAATTATGTGGGGCTTCAGCTCCCCGTGGGATGAAGGCACGTATACTATGAATGGAGGGAAGTGGTAGTGGGGGTGAAGAAACGGAAGAAGATGAATCAGGAGACTCAGGAACCATTGACGTAAAATGACAGTGGTGACTGGACACTGAGGAGCGAGAGATACTCAGAGAGTTTAGGTGGCCATCAAGTATCACAGCTGAAAGAAACCTAGGTGCTCTTAGTCCAGTGCCATCATACAGATATGGAAACTAAAGTCCAGAGAACATAATCCTCTGGCCCAAGGATAGAGACTAGATATGGTTTCCATGGTATTTTATTTGTTCTTAAAAGTTCTGAAATAAAGATGTTAGAAGGGATGGTCTTTTCACTGGCACATTAAAAAAATGCATTTTGTACATAACAGCATTTTACACTCATGAAATAGAGTAATCAATGAGATGTTAACATCCCTTTAAAGACCTTTTGTGCTATTTGTAAAGCTTGGAGGAAACAGGTCTATGTACAATATTCTGGTCCTCAAAGCAGTCCAGGTACAAAGTATTCCACCAGATTCTCACGATCACTTCTGCAGGAGGCAGGGCAGGTATGATGGCTGTCACACAAAGCTCTCTCATCTTGAAACTGTCCCTCACTCATGGCTGAACGTCCCTTCCCTTTCTTTCCCGGATGCTATGGCACTAGAAAAGCTACTGTGGTTCCAGGCCTTCTCTGATGGTAGAAAATTTTTGCAGACCTTAGCAGAAGCAAGAAACTGTCTTGGCCCCTTTCTCCAAAAGGCAGCCAGTACCTTTCTGCCCAGCGTTCAGGGGGGCGTTGGTAATCCTGGCAGAGGTTGGGGGATGGCTGCTTTTAACTTCCATTCCTGGAGGGATCAACCCATCTATACCTGGGGGCCGGATCAGCCAAGCTGGGGACCGAGGCGGAGACCAGCGGCCCATGCCTCAATCTCTTGGGGGTCTGGGGAAGGAACCAACGCCGCCGGACCCGCCCTCTTTCCCATCAGGGAAGTGCGTGTCTCACCCTTGGCTCCGCCTGTTCCTCTCACGTGACCAGCGACTTGCCCACTCACTGCCCGCCTTTGCGCCATAATCCCCCCCTCCCCTTACGCCCCGCCCAGCGGTGTGGCACAGGCCCCGCCCCTCCCAGCTGAGGGGGCCCAGAGCAAGATGGCAGTGAACCAGAGCCACACCGAGAACCGCAGGGGGGTCGCCATCCCTTATGGTGAAAGGTATCTGAGGGGACTCCCGGCTGTGTCCCAGAGGAGGGAGAAACGGAGGATGGGGTGAGATGGTGGGAGGAGATGCATGGGGCAGCCTTACTGCCTTGCAGGTTCTCAGCCAATCAGGGGCTTTGCCGCCTCTCAGCTCTGCCCCTGACACTTAAAGCCAAGATCCTCCCTGGCTTTGGTGCTTGGGGCTGTGAGGTCCCAGGTGGGAGCATGCGGCCAAGAATGCATGAAGGGTGTGTGCAGGGTACCAGCATGTCGCCTGTAAGGCACTGATACCGCAGGAAAAAAGGTGGGAACCCAGTGGCCATTGCCTGTAGCTGCTCCTTTGGGTTTCAGTGCCACAGTACTTGCTTGCCACTCTGCAGGAGCCCTGCGGTGGGGGACCCAAAAAAGGCCCAAGGAAGTGGAATATGGAGCATTCAGGAAACATCCAGAACTGTTGTGGGCCACTTCTGAGACAAGAGAGAAGGACCTCAAAAGATGATGCTCTTTCTTTTATTTATGTGTGTGTGTGTGTGTGTGTGTGTGTGTCCAGCTCAGCCCACCAGGGGGCGGGGCTGGCTGGCATGTGGTGCTGGGGGATTGAACCACGGTCCCTGTGTCTGCCAAGCTTGTTCCAAGTAGGTGCTTTAGACCACTGAGCCATCTCACCAGCCCCAATGCTCTTTCTTTTTTTTTTTTTGGTGGAACCAGGGATTGAACTTAGGTCCTTGTGCTTGCCAGGCAAGCACTTATTCTACCGAGCCATCTCCCCGGCCCCCAACACTGATTTTTTTTTTTATTTTTTATAATTATTTATTTATACATTTATTTATTGTGTGTGTGGCCAGCTCAGCCCACCAGGGGGCGGGACTGGCTGGCATGTGGTGCTGGGGGATCGAACCACTGTCCCTGTGCTTTGGCAAGCTTGTTCCAAGTAGGTGCTTTAGACCACTGAGCCATCTCTCCAGCCCCCCAATGCTCTTTCTTGATATCCCTCAAAAGATACTTTATTCCACAGTGGCCCCAGGTGTCAGATGCCCCCCACAACCACTCTGGGGATATTTGTTTTGGCTGCAGCAGCCTTTGGAAAAGCATGTGTTTTACATTTTTTGATGGAACTGGGGATTGAACTCGGGCCCTTGTGCTTGCCAGGGAAACACTTATTCTACTGAGCCATCTCCCCAGTTGCAGCAGCCTTTGGTGGTAGAACTAGTTTTGCATTAGAGAATGATGAAGAACAGTGGCGATAAGCCAGGAGTTGCCATTTCTGGTAGCCTGCTGGTCACTGCTAGTTCCAGGAGGCAAGGAGGGCCATTACCACTAAGAGCCGGTAGCTACCAGCATTCAAAGCCCAGGGCTATTAATAGTAAGAGTTATACTTTGCCAGCTCCCGAGTCTTGTATGAATTGAATAAGAACCTTTAGCTAACTCATAACTTTTTGGATGTGGGTGTGGGGAACCCTCTTTAGAGGGTCCTGAAAAAGAAGGCAGACAACCATGATATGTGTCAACAGGCTCAAGAAACAGCACACATTTGATTTTCATCCTGTGTGCAGCTAAGAACCCATGCCAGCTGGTGACACTGCCTGGCCCTTGGAAGTTTTCCTTGGTACCCCAGCCAGAGGTAGATGGCTGCTCATTATTATCATTATTATTACCTGGAGTAGAACTCAGGACCTTGTGCTTGCCAGGTGAGCGCTTGTGCTGCTGAGCTACATCTCTTAGCTGATGACTGCTCATTATTGGGGAAAAAAGAAAAAAAAAAAAAAAAACAGGATTGAAAGAAGAGATGGCAGGAAGAGTGATGCTCTCTCAGCATAGTGGTTTTTTTTTTGTTGTTGTTTGTTTTTTTTTTGTGTTTTTTTTTTGGTGGAACCAGGGATTGAACTCAGGCCCTTGTACTTGCCAGGCAAGAGCTTATTCCACTGAGCCATCTCCCCGGCCCAGCATAGTGGTTTTTTGGTACAGAAAAAACGTGCCATGAAGCTCTTAAACAGAACAGGGTTTGTTTTTGTTTTTGTTTTTGTTTTTTTAACAGAACCAGGGATTGTATTCAGGTCCTTGCGCTTGCCATGGGAGCATTTATTCCACTGAGCCATCTCCCTGACCCTCAGAATGGTGTGGTTGAAGCTAAGAATTTTCAGAAAGAAGGAGCCAGTCTGAAGGCAAAATTTAGCACCTGTCCTGGCTCCCTCCCTTCTTTCTGCACACTCCCTACCTCCTTTTTGCAGTAATTCTCCATCTCCCAGCGTGCACTTCTGAATGATGTTCCTCTTTGTGCTGATTTGCCCTAATTTTTCTTTTCTCCCACTGTTATAGATCCCAAAGGCCTCCTGTGTTCAGAAGTGGGGCTTTTGGAAGTGATTGAACCATGGGGTGATGTAGCTGACTTGCTGGTAGAAGTGGGGTCGGGTCAGAAGTGTCGCAGCGGTGTAACCTGGAAGGGGGCCTCCCTTCCAGGGTTCTCCCTTCTCTTGTAGCTCTCGGCTTGGCATGTTGTGAATCGCTGTAAACATGAGCCCAAATGAGCCTCTCCTCCTGGAAGTTTTGGGTGTCAGGTGTTGTGTTTCAACAGTGACAAAGTGCCTGAGACACCCACCTGACAGTGACTTCTCAGGTGCCACACCAATGCAAGTTTGGATGCACTTGTCAGGTGGACCCAAGAGGACATCGCCACATGCTGATGCCGGAGCGTCCTTCCCCCAGGACACTTTCTTGACAGTGTTGTACTAGCTACAGGGCTCTTACATCCCTACTTGTTCCTGATGTGGCTTTGTGCACTTTGATAGATGACTGGTTGCCACTCTGACCGTGACTTCTCCATGTGCCATGAACAAGAGCACTTTAACCCATGTGCCTCTCATTTTGTGTCATGAAGCCATTGTTAATCTGGTGCTTGGGTGCCATCTTACTTGGGTTATGGATCTGTCCCTTTGCTTTGCTGTTTGTGAGTTAGAGGCAGGGAATGATGTGTGCTTTTTAAAAAGTAAATATATTAGAAAACACGGAGTTATCCTTGTGGAGTCCCCTCTATGTTCTTGAATACCTAGTAATAGCATTCACTGTACAGTTAACAGTTCCAATCACTCGTCTAAGAAGTTTGTAGCTAAAACCACTGTAAAACAGAAGGAATATGTTCAGGATCGGATGTTCTGTGCATGCACAGGAGCTTGGTTTGGATTTGAACTTAAGTACGAAGCATTCATTCCTTACTCCAGCTGTTCCTTTAAAAACAAAAGGACCATTTCTCTGCTTTCTTCTAACCAAAAAGGCCCTGTCAGTGCTTTGGCTTCCAGGATAGAAACTAAGGAAATAGCTCGGGGAGGAGATTGGTGCTATTTTGACTTCTTCCTTGAGGACACAATACACACTTGAGAGCTTTATCACAACTTGGCTGTGTTTTGTACAGAAATTTTCTGATCCCAGTTAAGAAGTTGCCAGATTGTAGCCAGACTATAATATAAAATAGGGAAAACACTGCGTTGTATTTTATCCATTATTTAACACTTGTGCAGATAATAGCATATGTGTTACTATAGAAAAGTTTGGGGAAAATGTTATGAACCCCAATTCCAATGTGCAGTAAATTTCACACCTTAGTATGAATCTTTCTATACTTTTTCCTGTAAAAATACACACACTCCCAACTGCTTTGTAACTTGTTCTAATTTACATATATATATATATTGCTTTCTAGTGCCAATAGCTATATCATTAGATCAGTAATTAGTAGTCCAGTATGTGGTAAACTTTTCTCAATCCCCAGTCTGAGATATGTTTTTTTTTTGGTCATGACTACTCTGTCCTGCACCGAACATTTTAAAAACATATTTTTGCCTATCTGTGAAAATGTTTCTTTGGAATATATTTCTAAAAAGGAATTGTAAGGGTCAGAAGATAAAACCTTTTTTTTTGGCGGAACCAGGGATTGAACTCAGGCCCTTGCGCTTGCCAGGGAAGCGCTTATTCCACTGAGCCATCTCCCCAGCCCCTAAGAGACAGGATCTTGCTGTGCAGTTTGGGCTGGCCTTGAGCTATTTGCAGCCCAGGCCAGTCTGGAACTTGCAACAATCCAATCCTCCTGCCTCAGCCTCTCAAGTGCTGGGATTACAGGTGTGCGCCACCATGCCAGGCCTCGTATAACCTTTTTAAAGTGAGTTTTTAAAAATGCTTTGTGTGTGTGCTTACTACTGCATTTATTTTCCTACAGCTGATCTTCCTATAGCTTCACCATTTTGCCCTAAGGTTAAGCACGGGGTCAGAACTGGGTCACTTGGCCCCTTCTCTTCTTGTCTCCTCCCAGTTCAGTGTGCCTGCATCTCTGAATGGCCAGAATTCTCTCTGTCTGCAGCTGGGCTCCACACACTGCAGCCTCAGCACAATCTTCTTCATTGTTTTAGCCTTCTTCCAGAAGACGGGCCTCATCTGCCCTCTGTAGCCGCCCTGCTTCCCATCCTAGTGCCCCTTTCCTTGGGCATACAGGGAATCCCCGCCCTTCTTACACGAGGCCACTTTGGGAGGCTGATGCTTGCCACACTTCTTACAGAAAGTCCTTCGGGTCTTAGGTACGTTGACCATCTTGGTAGTAGCGCTGTCTACGCGATGGAAAGGAGAAGCCCAGCGGTCTAACTCCTCACCGCATGCCGCTTGCGCCTCACAGGAAAGGTTTAAAAAATTATTTAAAAAAAAAACCTGATCTTTTCTGTAAATATGTTAAGCATATTTATTGCAAAAGTATCTTACAAATACCAATTTACATTCTTTGCAGTATCCCCTGGGCCTGTTTCACCATATCCTTCCCAACAGCTCTGTCCGCATTACCTAAGTCCTGTTCCCGTCCTGCCGTCAACCCCTGAGAACAACCTTCCTACTTTCTGTTTCCGTTACTCTGATTGCAAATACTCGTATAAGTGGAATTATACAGTATTTGTCTTTTTGTGGCTGGTTTCTTTAACTCAGCGTACTGTTCTCAAGATCTGTCCAGATAGCAGGCCCGGGACCTCCTTCCTTTGCAAGGC